CCTTACTTTAAACCAACCGTTTAAAAACTACAATAAATATACCAAAAAAATACACAATATCGTTTTACCTGAATCATCGGACATGGTAACATCATAACTAGTGTCATCAAATCCGGACAACATAATTTAAAAAATAATAATACACAACACACTAAGACATTTGTAAAAATAAATATAAAATAAATAAATAAATATAATCCTAAAATTTTACAAAACTAACACATTATTAGTTAATAAAGAATTTAAGTTAATTTAATAATAAATGATGTTTGGGAAGCGAAATTTTGTTTTCTGTTGTATTTTGGACAAACTGTCAAAAATGTAATTGATATAAAATTATATACATGTATAAATAATTAATATACATGTATAAATATTTATATATACATATTTGATACAAATATGTAAAGTTCTATAAATATTTTAATTTTTAATTTTAAGTTGCACAATGTGACGCAGACTTTAAGCTAAAGCCCTTCCACACTTTACGTTTTGTATTGGACGCTCAACAATTTGTGCGAGACTTTGTATGGGGCTGAAGAAGTGTGGTGGCGTCTTTAGAATGTAAAGCTTGCTTTTCGCGTGGGATTTTTAGGTTTTTTGTACAAAATTGAGGAAACTTTTGTACAAAAATTTAATAAAAAGTATGATATTGATTTATTGTCGCTTAAATAATTATATGATATCACATACTTAGACAGGAACATAATTTTATGATAAATTTTTGAATATGTTAACTAAAAATCTGGTAAAATATTTATAAATTAATAAATTCAATATGTATGAATCAATTTATGCTCGCAAATAACATAATTTTTTTTTCAAGTTATTGGCACCAAATTTGGCAAAACTAAGACAATATCCATAATATTACCATCAAAACAAATCCAATGCCTTTGCTTTCAATTGTCCCAATTACTTTCATTAAAATTTGTTTTTTTTTTAAGATTTGATTTAAATATAATTTGTTACTCACATTGACTCGTCGACTCGTCATTATCATCAGATTCTGGGTCAGTTTTGTTGACATTTTCCTGGGATTTTCCAGCATCCATATCCGACCAATTTTTCACCTTTCCTTGGACTTCTTTATAAGCATTCAGCCTAAAAAATAAAACAACATTAATGAACAATTTATTAATAGACATGTAAAGCCTCGGTTCAAATATATTTTAAATTTTAGGTATTAGCTCTTAAAAAACCAATCAGGAACAAAATCTGAAGTCCCACTCCAAAGATCGAATTTTAATAATATTTAAATTTCGAAAATTCGATACTAGAAAATAAGTCTTTCATCGTTTTTACCTACAAAATACTATATATCTGATTACTCTTTTGAAATCCAAAGTCTTTTTTATATTTTAATCTGAAACTTTTATTAACAAAATTCAAAGATGTAAAAAACTCAAAAGATTATGATAAAATTTCACATCCACAAAACCTAAAATTTATTTAATTAAAATCCAAAGTCTCTTACGATATAAACTTAATTTTAATCATAAAATCCAAAGTCTCACAATTTTGCATCATACAGAATCGATAAAAACTAGCTGTAAGTGGAATTCTGTCTTAAGGCATTAAGGCATCGTGCCTTAAGGCAAATTGCTGGAACTTCCTGTACCAAAAATTATTATTTTTTTAAAACAATTAACATTTTTGAAAAAAAAATTACTTCGAAAAAATTAGATTTCAGAGAAAATATTATAATAATATAAATTTGGAACGGCTAGACCTGCCTTCGCCAAAAATCAGCACGTCTCCTTATCACGTCTCCTTATCAATACGAATCGAATGTTTTTTGAATTATTCAAATCGGTGGATCCGTGTTCCCGAAATCGTCGACGAAAATTTGTATCCGCACATACATACACACACACACACATACATCCATTTTTTCTAAGGTATGCCAAAATGTTCAGAAACTCCTGAAACGTAAAGATATATAAAATTTTTCATTTTCGATTTTTTGCGATTACTATAACTTGCCCTACGGGAAATTAAAAAGAAATTTTAACAGAATCCATTATTCAAATACATTATTAAATTCATGAAATTTTTCACTATTTATATTTAAAAATTAAAGAACTTATAAACAATTTGTTTAAAAAGTTTAGTAAACAAAATCCAAAGTTTAACAAATTATAATATGAATAATAAGTTGAATGAGATTGTAACCTTAACAAAATCCTAGGCATCTATTCTGAAACTTTTTACTATTTCTTTTACCAGAAATCCAAAATCTCAGTAAAGTTTAATTAACAAAATCCAGAAAATCCATCTTTTGACCTTAAAAATTTAATTACCATTTTGAGCCTCAGAATCCAAAGTATCTTCTTATCAATCAACATAATCTAACTATTATTAGTAACTCTGTTTTTATTATTTACCTTATCCAAAATCGAAAGATGTAGGTCTTGGTATAAAATTTTAAACTCCTAGCCTAGTCTAAAAACATTTTGTTTTAAATAAAAACCAAAATCTTAAAAAGCCACTAAATGATCTTAAATTTTAACATCCAAGTGCCATGAAAACTTTTCACTATTTTCAATAACAAAACCTACACAAGTAAAATTTTGAAACACTCTCTACTGTTTTATTTGTACATAATCCAAAGCCACATATAAAAAATAATAATAATAAGTTTGATTAACTCTAAATTGCAAAAAAATCCAAAAAAATCTAACTAATTCTAAGTCATAAAATAGATTCTACTTGCACAATAAAAACTTTCCACAATGTTCCCGAACAAAATACAAAGTTCTGTTATAAAAATTAGGGGTTCGGATCACAAAATCTTTTCACAATTTTCCTAAACAAAAGCTTCTGAAGAACAAACTCTTAGTAATATTTCAAGATGTAAAATCCTGCATATTTTTTCCAGAATTTCCACAAACCTACTAACCAAGGCAATTTCCGAGCCCATTCGATTCGATCGAGAACTCGGTCAAGTGGGGAAATCCCCAAAATAGAACTCGCTCATTTTGTCAGACATTAGGGCGACGTTACACGGAACGGTAAAATGAACCAGAAATAAAACTAGCTGTAAGTGGAATTCTGTCTTAAGGCAATTAGGGCATCGTGCCTTAAGGCAAATTGCTGGAACTTCCCGTACCAAAAATTATTATTTTTTTTTTAAAACGATTAACATTTTTGAAAAAAAATTACTTTGAAAAAATAAGATTTTTGAGAAACTATAAATTGGACAAAAAATTAGTTTTTATTTGAAAAAAAAAATTTTTTTTTTAAAAATTTTTTTTTTTAAAAAATTTGTTTTTTTTGAAAAAAATTTTTTTTTTTCTTTTTTGACATATTGTGGAAGATCTGAACTTTTTTTTCAAAGCAATCGTACTGCTTTAACTACATAGGGACAAAATATAAAGCGCGTAAGCGCCGCGTCGCTGTCTAACGCATAAGCATTGGTACGGAACCGATAGGAATGTTAACAAAATGTATACTTATTGTTAAAATCTCTATAAAATGTCTGATAATTTGATGTGCATATGTCTAATGATCATTTTTGACCGCCAAATGGCTCATTTTTTACTTTTTCCTCTATATCTCCGAAACCGCTGGACCTACCTTCATGAAAGTTGTATCGATTCTTCATCTTGTCAATACAAATAAAATGTTTTTTGAATTATTAAAATCGGACGCTCCGTTCTCTTAAAAACTGAGTTACCGTTTTCGGAACTTTTTGCCCCGTATCTTCGGAACGGCTTGACCTGCCTTTGCCAAAAACTAATCAGCACGTCTCCTTATCAATACGGATCGAATGTTTTTTGAATTATTCAAATCGGTTGATCCGTGTTCCCGAAATCGTCGACGAAAATTTGTATCCGCACATACATACACACACATACATACATACATACATACACACACACATACACACACACACACACACACACACACATACATCCATTTTTTCTAAGGTATGCCAAAATGTTCAGAAACCTCTGAAACGTAAAGATATATAAAAATTTTCATTTTCGATTTTTTTGCGATTACTATAACTTGCCCTACGGGAAGTTAAAAACAGTCACATCGTAAGCCATTTCAAGTCATTCTGAATCGTTTGAGCTATTATCTTAAAAATAGATGTATGCGACCTTTCGTGAAAGTTTTTGCAAAAACAGCTGAATCGATTTCAAAAATTTTAAAGATGTTACATCAAACTCGATAACAAGGAGTCTTGATTACATAATATTATAGAAGATTTAATTATGTACAAATTTGACCAACATTTCATTTATTTTAGGCGAACCGTTTCAAAGTTGCAAGAGATAATATAAATAAAAGTACTTTTAACGCTCTTGGACTAAAATACTATTTTTAAGTGTGAATTTAAAGTACACCGAGTAGCTGTAGGTCATCATATTATTAGACAATATTATACATAATGTAATTTTATGCAAATTTGCCAAATATTTAATTTATTTTGGACGAACTGTTTAAAAGTTACAAGGGATATAATAAATAAAAGTTTAGTCAAATCAGTAACAGTCCTAACAGAATAAATAGTATCTCCATCTAGTGTAATTGTTCTGGTTATACAAATATTCAATTATAATTAATAAAATAATCAATTGAATCAATAAATAAGTTATTAAATATGTTAAAAGTTAAAAATAAGTTAAAAGTGATTAAATAAAAATTTGAAATTACTTAGTATACAAATATAAGAAGTCTTGATTGGGTTTGCAAAACAATCCGTCGAACAGTTTCTTTATAATTACCAGAAAAGAGCACAAGTTCATATGTTTCCGCCTAAACAAATAAATTTTATAAATTTAAATGGACAAAACGTTTAAATTTAAGAAATAATTATTTCCAAATCAGCAATTCACTGTATATTGGTTATTTTAATAATAACATTAAATGTATAATATAAAGTTGATATTTTGAAATCAGTTTCATGCAACGAATGCCCATGATCCCGACTATTTTATTTTCTTTAAGCAAACACAAAACTAATATATAATATGTATGTATATATACATAGTGATTTTAATGTTCTGAACCTCAGAAATTATATTTATTTAACGCAGTAGTAATCCGTAGAGCCGTTTCTTTGCAATTAGTTATTGCCTCATTAAAATTTAATGAGCCTGAAACATTGCAACCAAAGTAACAATTATATTTTAGGTAAGAGTGTAGTTTGTATTTTTTTCAAATTAAAATATTTCCTGCATAATTTTGAAGTAGTATATATATATATATATATATATATATATATATATATATACTACTTCAAAATTATGCAGGAAATATTTTAATTTAAAAAAAATACAAACTACACTCTTACCTATATATATATATGTATATAGTGTTAAAAAGACTATAGTTAGTTTGATAATGGAATTGTCATTCGTTCTAATAATAATAATGACAGACGTGTTCTAGATATCGAAAACTAATCGATATATATATATATATATATATATATATATATATATATTGGTGTGCTCTTTAACCTTCACCTGAGAACATTTTATTGCCCCAGATAAATTAGGGAAAGGAATCAAATTAAATCTTCTTTTGACGTGATTGTTTTTTTTCTTGAAAAAATAACAAAAATAAGTAGTTTTGTATGTGATTAAGTTTGTTTTTTACTCATTAATAAACTTTTAGATTAATAAAATTATTTTAATTAAATACCCATAATCTCGCGCTTATATGTTGTCCTAAGTTTTTCATTTCATTTTTCTAATATTATTTTAATAACTCAAATATTTTGTTCAGGACACTCTTTTTAAATTAGCTTAGCAGAAACTAGATTATGCAATGCAAAATAAATGCATTCGGGACACTTTTGTACATTTTGCTAAATAACTCAAAAACTTTGTATTGGGCACTCTTTTATAGTTAGCTTAGTAGAAACTAGATAAAATTTACTTCAATTCCATATCAACAATCTTCTATACTTGCATATATCTTTTTTATGTTATCTGCATTTTCATCCTTTTTGTAATATGATGATTCACTTCATTAAATATGTGTCATCCTAAGATAAAATCAATTTAACACAGTTTCATTTTTTATTCAGTAAAATATAACAGTGGTTTTTCTCACACTGCATTATTCTTATTTTTATGATTATGATTATTATTATTTTATCTCGAGTTCTTTTCTTGAATGTGCAATTTCTAAAATCGCTGATACGGAACTAATGCGTTTTCGAGGTGAAATGTTACACCGGAGATAAATGCAACGGTAATGGTAATTGGATGTGGTTTTTAAGTATATCGAGTTGATGTAGGGCATAAAGGAGTTAGACAATATTATAAACGATTTAATTTTGTACAAATTTGCCAAATATTTTGTTTATTTTTGAAGAAAAGTTTAAAAGTTACAAGAGATATTATAAATAAAGAACTACATACACTATTTTTACTCGCACGTTGTTCCTACAGCAAGTAGGGCATTGCAATATTAGACAATATTTTCATTAAAAACTATGTTAAATAGTTTATAAAAGAAAATAGTAAATTTTATCTAGTTTCTGCTAAGCTAACATAAAAAAGTGTCTGAAACAAAATTTTCGATTTATTAAAAAAATGTAAAAAAATGTCCCAAATCATTTTATAGCAAACTTTGCATAATTTAGAGTTCATATGAAATTAATTAAAAATTTTTGTATAACGCTATATTAAACAGTTTTTAGGAATATGTTGTATATTTCATCTAGTTCTTGGTAAGCTAACTAAAAAATAGTGTCTTCGACAAAGTTTTTGAGTTATTTAATAAAATGTAAAAAAATGTCCCGTAATCTTTTAAGGAAAACTTAGAACAATACTAAGGGCAAGTTCACATGTCATTTATTAAATTTTTTATATAAGACTATATAAAACTGATTACAAGGATATGTTACAAAATTTATCTAGTTTCTGCTAAGCTAACATAAAAACAGTTTTCTAAACAAAGTTTTTGAGTTATTCACAAAAAATTGAAAAAACGTCTTGAATCTTTGCATAACAAAGTTATAATCAGGATAAATTATAAGGGCGAGTTTCCATCGCAGTTTTTTCATAATTTTCTTATAAATCTATTATAAACTGTTTATAGGGAAATGTAGTAAATTTTATATGGTTTCTGCTAAGCTAACAAAAAAAGAGTGTCCTGAACAAAGTTTTCGAGTTATTCAGAAAAATGTAAAATATGTCGTGGTAACTTAGTTAACTTATTATTAGAAAAATATATAAGGACAAGTTTACATGAGATTTATTCAAAATTTATATATAAGACTATATTAAACTATTCATGGAGATATGTTGTAAAATGTATCTAGTTTCTGCTAAGTTAACAAAAAAAGAATGTCTTCGACAAAGTTTTCAAGTTATTCAGAAAAATGCCAAAAAATGTCCCAAAAATGTAAAAAATAAATGCACTTGGATTCAATTTTTACATACATTTATAAACTAATCTTAAATTTTTCAGAAAGTTTCGACATAAAACTAAATGACATCATCAGTGGAACTAAAAAAAAAATTGATATAGATTTTAAAAAAGTATACAAAAATAGTGAAAACTATATTAAAATTAAAAATATATAGAAAATACATAGAAAAAACAAAACTCAAACCTAAAAAGTACTCGTTCAATAAAAACTAGTACTATTACTAGAAAACTAGTAATATTATATCGCATAAATTTAACTCGTATATTCATTTTTTTATTTATATAGTTATATAAACAAAATCATTTAAAAAATAAATAAAAATTCAACATTATTCTGTACTGAAAGAGCAAGAGCCTAAAGGAAATTCTGGAGCAACTTTTTACATGTGGGGTATCATTTGAAAGGTCTCATCGAGAACAAGCTAAATATACTACTTTTACTATTATACTTTTGTATTTTCGATAACTTTTTTCTATATATAAATAAAATTTTACCGGTTTTCTTATAATTTTTTAGCTTATATTAATTTGTAAATTTGCAGATGCACTGATGATGACATAAGAATTTATATCGGAACGTTTGAAACATTAAAAATTAGTCTACAAGTCTTTGTATATATATATTATTTAGGTATCGCCTTAGAAAAATCTCATTGTATATATCATCAACAAAACTAACCTAACCTAACCATGCATATATATATATATATAAATATATATATATATATATATATATATATATATACATATACACATAACAAACTAGTCAATAACTCCTTGTCTATATATTATTCAAGTATCGTCCCAGAAAATCCTCTTCGTATCTCAATACCAAAACTAACCTAACCTAACCATACATAGATAAATATATATATATATATATATATATATATAATACACTCATACAAATAACAAACTAGGCTACAACTCTTTGTTTATATATTATTTAAGTATTGCCATAAAAAACCTTCTTCATATAACTCAACACCAAAACTAACCTAACCTAACCATACATAGATAAATATATATATATATATATATATATATATATATATATATATATATATATATATATATACATTACAAACTAGTCTATAACTCTTTGTCTATATATTATTTAAGTATCGCCTTAGAAAAACCTCTTCATATCTCAACACCAAAACTAACCTAACCTAACCATACAAAGATCAACCACATATATAATATATATATATATATATATATATATATACACATAACAAACTAGTCTATAACTCTTTGTATATATATTCCTTAAGAAACGCCTTAGAAAAACCTCTTCATATATCTCAACATCGAAAAGACTAACCTAACCTAACCATACATAGGTAAATAAATAAATATATTTCTACTTACTCGTTTAATGCCACCATCTCATTAAAGGTAACAGGTTGTGTCCTGAATCTATCGGCAGCTCTTCTCCTCGGTACAGCACCTCCAGAGCCATTTTCCAAACCACTGGAAGCACCTCCGACTAACCTGGAGATTCTTTCAGCAATACTTTCAGTAACTGGTGTAGGAGACGATGAATTATTTCTGGATGTAGATGTCTCGTTGTCTACGTTTTGATGATTGTGGTTGTCGACAGCAATCAGAGGCTAAAAAAAAATAGACATATTAGGGACTAACTCGGTAAATGACTTTGGATCTTACAATTAAAGTCTCCTAAGCTCTTGTTTGATGGAAATAAGTGGTTAATAGGGAAAAATAGTAATGGGGAGTGATAAATATGTAAGAGATTTATTATTCTATTATCCTATTATCTTTTACCCCCTTGTTCATCAGTCATGCTCCGTCTCTTCATCAAAATGCTCGCCAACTCAGAATCAGCAGCAGCTGCAGATTTGGTCCTCTGCAAATTTCCCGAAGAACTACCTCCACCAGTACTTCGTCTCTGGACAACTTCATTTAAAGCTGCAGCAAGATCCTGAGGAAGAGCTGCACCTTCCACAAATCCCCTTTTCGGAGAATCCCTCCTGGACGAGTTCCTGGACTTCAAAATAGGCTTCCTCGGTTTGTTGTACTCATCAGCCTCGTCGCTTTCGGTGGACGATTTTTTTTTTAATATCGGACGAGGGGCTTCTAGGTCTAAAGATGAGGCTGCAGCACTTTCTTCACTTAGACTCTTTTTTTCAGAATTGGTTTGACCGGGTCGAAGGATTGGTTGAGCTGGTACTGGAGACAACCTAGGAGAAAAGAGGTATATAAAATTCAAAAGTGGTTGGTGGTTTATTTTTTTCTTTACCTTCGGAGTAGGACAAGCCTCCTGAATGGTCACTGGCTTTTTTCAAAATTCCATGATGGGGTTCAGGCGAAGAATCCCTGGATTTGTCCCTGTGGTCTTCGGAGTGGCTTCGTCTTTTTAAAATTGGACGCATTACTCCGCAACAATCTTCAGTTGATACACCACCTTTGAGAATACCTGGAAAAATTAAAAAAATAAATAAAATGTTAAAGTTTTTATTAAAATTATTTGGAATAAAAAATATGTACTAGATTATTTGCTTAAATATTTTTTAAATTGAAAATGATTTTGAAATTTTTTTTGAGATTTTTTTGTGAAATTGAAAATGATTGAACTTCATTTACTTGATAAAAATTTAATTATAAAATAGAAAGTTATATATTTTGTAATTGTTTTTATATTGTATTTGAATTCATTGTATCTAATAACATTGTTTTTTTTATTCAAATAATATGGTTATTATAAAATGTTTTTATTTATTTAATTTTATTTATTAATTTAACCATTTGCTGAATAACTCGCTTCATTATATGTTATAATTTCGGAGCGTTTTTTTTACATTTTTCTGAATAACTCAAAAACTTTGTCCAGGACACTCATTTTTAGTTATCTTAGCAGAAACTAGATAAAATTTACGAAAATTATGTATATAATGTTTTATACACTTCGATACAAATTTGTTGAATAGTTTGAACTCGCCCTAATGAATTTTGTGTATTTGCAATATATGAATTGGGAACATTTCTTTACATTTTTTTTGAATAACTCAAAAATTTTGTCCGGGACACTCTTTTTTCGTTAGCTTAGCAAAAAATAGATAAAATTAACTAAAGTTTCATGTGTATTGTCTTATACACTTTGATACAAAAATTTTGAATAGTTTCAACTAGCCCGAATGCGTATTTATAAGGTATGGTTTGAAGACATTTTTTTACATTTTTCTGAATAACTCAAAAAATTTTTCCAATATACTCTTGGTTTACTATACAAAAATTTGGGACATTTTTTAACATTTTGCTAAATAACTCAAAAATTTTGTATCGGGCACTCTTTTTTTATTAGCTTAACAGAAACTAGATAAAATTTACTGCAAATCCATAAAAACAACCTTATATACTCCGATACGAAAATTGTGAGAAAAAACTAACTAATTTCAACTTGCCCTTATATATTGTCCTTGTTTTCCATACAAAGATTTGGGACAATTTTTTACATTTTTCTAGATAATTCAAAAATTTGTTTCGAGACACTCTTTTTTAGTTGGCTTAGCACTAAAAAGCTTAGCTTAAAACTAGATAAAATTTACTGAAACTCCATATACACAGTTTAAAACAGTCTTATATAAAAAATTTGAACAAATCTAACGCAGTGTCTTAATAAGTTTTCCATACCAAGTTTCGGGATAATTTTTTACATTTTTTTAAATACCACAAAAATTTTGTCTAGGACACTCCTTTTTATTTAGCACAGCAAAAACTATATGAAATTTGAAATAATTTCTTATATACATTTTAATACAGTTTTATATGAAAATTTTGTATAAATCCAATGCGAACTCGTCTTTATATATTGTCCTAATAAATTTTTCTAGTCCTAACAAATTTTCCATACGAGGATTCGGGACATTTTTTTTACATTTTTCTAAATAACTCGAAAATTTTGTCCAGGACCCTATTTTTTGTTTAGCTTAGCAGAAACTCGATAAAATTTACGACCAAACCATATAAAAAGTTTAATATAGTTATATATAAAATTTTCGAATAAATCCAATGCAAACTCGCCTTTACATATTGTTTTCCTAATTCTAATCCTAACAAGTTTTCTATACAAGGATACGGGACATTTTTAACATTTTGCTAAATAACTCAAGAATTTTGTTCAGGACACTCTTTTTTAGTTAGCTTAGCAGAAACTAGATAAAATTTATAACAATTCTCTATACAAAGTTTAATATAGTCTTGTATGAAATTGTTGAACAAATCTAATGCAAGCCTTTACATATCGTCCTAATAACATTTCCTAATTCTAATAAATTTTTTCTACCAAAATTCGGGACATTTTTTTACATTTTTCTAAATAACTCAAAAATTGTGCCCAGGACACTCTTTTTTATTTAGCTTAGCAGAAACTAGATAAAATTTATAACATTTTCCTGTACACAGTTTAATATAGCCTTATATAAAAATTTTGAATAAATCCAATGTAAACTAGCCTTTATATATATTTATCTTTAAACACTCTAAACTTCCTGCTTAAACTTTTTGTTCGAGCAAAAATTTTGTTTATAAAAACTCGAAACCGGTTAAATTTTCAGGTTGTAACCAATATTGTTCGCGCCAAATCAAAGTAGCCGATATATTGATACAAACAAAATAGAATCAATCCAAAATCATCATAAAAAGTCAACCATTGCGATATTTAAAAACAGCAATGAAATTATTGTAAATACAATTATAATTTGTAATTAATATAAAATTAAACACATAAAGTTATAATTAAAGTGTTTACAACAAAATGGTCCTTCAAAATTCAATCAATCGAACAACAAAAGAAAACAAATATTGAACCCGTTGTAAATATTGTTGTAACTAATTGAACTATTATTTAGAGTTTTATTTATTTAGATTTTATTTTTGTTATAATTGCTGTGATCTCTCATACCAGAACAATTGACTGAGATACAGTATGTATGAATTATTTCAAGTAAATAAATAAAATAAAAAAAAATATTCAAAAACTTTTTTGACTTCTGAAATTTTGTACCAAAATCTAGGTTAGTAAAAAATAATTATTATTACCGTGAGGTGGTGAGTCCCCTGCATAATCTTCAACAGTATAATTAAAATCTTCATCCTCGCTCCTGCTGGTTTTTCTCTTCAAAATACCATGATGATGATGATGATGATGTCCTGAAGATCTGGCAGTGATATCCAAAGAACTCCGACGTCCCCTGGTTTCTGATTGTTGTATATTTGTGACTTCTTCCATCGATAAACGTTTTTTCAATATACCTTGTCGACTTGCATGTTGGGATTTCTCCGACTCTAAAACCACCTGAGGAAAAATGACATATGAAACGCATTTTTTTACTAATAAATGGTAAGTCCATTTAGGGGTTTATGGATCACTATTTTTAATTAAATACATATGTTAAGAATTCGTTATTAATTATTTTACGATCTATAAATTATTTACTTTAAGTGAGCACAGGATGCACGTGCAGAATAGGTAATTATTCCATAGCTTAAATAATTCCTTTTATTATTAATTTATCCTTACTATAAATCATGTACCCTTCTAAGAAATTGTACCAGGTCAAATGCAAACTTTCGCATTAATATGGATTATAGAAAAATCCCACATTTTGTATGTATTAGTGTGTAAGTATTTTGTATGCTGTCATCCCTTCCAGACAGGGTTATTATAATTTATATAATGATAATTATTTTAGTAATCGAATCATGTTTTATTTCGCGTCGAGGCAATGAATATTGTTCACTGAATTTCGATTAAAATATTCTTTATGCTCTTTTTTGTTCGTCAGTAGAGTCCCTTTTAACTTTTACTATTGCGATTAATTTTTCAGTTTGCTTGTCAGTAGAGTCCCACTAGTACTCTTCTTTTTTTAGTTTGCTCGTCAGTAGAGTCCCTTTTGTACTATTTTTTACTTTGCTCGTCAGTAAAGCCCAATTTGTGCTCTTCTCTAGTTTGCTCGTCAGTAGAGTCCCTTTTGTACTATTTTTTACTTTGCTCGTCAGTAGAGTCCCTTTTGTACTCTTTTCTTAGTTTGCTCGTCGGTAGAGTCCCTTTTGTACTTATTTTTTAATTTGCTCGTCACTAGAGTCTCTTTTGAACTTTTTTTAAGTTTGCTCGTCAGTCGAGTCCTCTTTGTACTCTTTTTAAGTTTGCTTGTCAGTAGAGTCCCTTTTTTCACTTGTTTCACTATACTCTTTATTTTAACTCGCTCGTCAGTCCCTTTTTCATTTGTTTTAGAGTCCTTGTATCATTTTTCTAGTTTGATCGTCAGTAGAGTCCCTTTCGTACTTATTGCTTGTCAGTAGAGTCCTTTTTTATATGTTACAACTTTGAGGCCGCCACTATTGTAAAGAACTCGTTTGGTAAAAACGGCGGAGGCAAAGTTGTACGCCCAAAAAAATTCTAGAAAATTTAATAAAAGTCGAGAACGGCTGAACCGATTTGGATACTTTTAATCTTGATATATTCGTCATAGTCTAGGGGAAGACTTTACACATGAGAAACTATTTAAAACTTGCTTGAAAAATGTATATTTTGCTCACTGAAATATGAAGAATGCACAAAACTTCAACAGATCATTGACACCAGTGAATAGGACATCAAAGTAAAATTTAGATTAAAACTTATTTTATCTACTACCTAGTTGTGAGTGGCATTTTGCCTTCAGGCAAGTTGCATAATAAATAAAAAATCAGATTTAGCAATTTATAGAAAAAAATCGACTTCAAAAATTTTCGCTTGTACCTTGTTGCTAAGAAGTATTGTCTAGTTTTAAGGAACTCCTAAAGTCTTACAGTCAAAAAAACATAGAACATACTAAAAATTTAGCCTAAAACTTGCTAAAAAACTAGTTGTAAGTGCTAATAATGTCGAGAGACCAAACAATGTCTTGGATTGTCTTATACCATGGGTATTGTACTGGCAACAGATAGCCTTACTAATAACATTGACGTAATAGTCATATATCTTATATATAAAAATAAAGCTCTCGTTCAAATGATTCGGTAAAATTCAAAAACGGCTAAACCGATTTGGCCAGTCTTAGACTTGAAAAAATTTGTGCTAATCAGTAGGTTGTCGGAAAGGTGAGATATTATTTCACAATCGCCTAGAAACTTTACACTTTTAATTTGAACATTTTTGTAGAAGCGTAATTTAAATAGAACAATGGACGGTGGCTAATACGTCAAATGTCGAAAGTTTTTGACAGATGATGTTCAATTACGTTTAATAGGATGTTTTAGGTAAATATTATTTAATTATGATTAAATTACAGTAAGTAGTTTTGTTTGTAGTTTTATTTATACACAAAAACGTTATTAAACGGATTGCAAGCGTTACTAGAAACTCAAAACATCAACTTTTTTGAAATGTTAATATGAAAATGCACTTTTTGGCATATTTTTCACAAACACGGTGCTCTGAAAGATCTCATTTGTATAATTATATACTCATTGGTATTTATAAAACATTTTCTAGGTTATATTATTTTTTAATCATGTTATTAAAATTCAGAACCTAAATTTGGTATCGATCAAATGGAGATTTAGTCGAATAACACTTTCCCAGTTATAATTTCCCAGAATTTATCGAAGAATAGATAGTAATATATGAAGGGCCGAGGTTAAAAAGGTCCACCATCTATGTGTCAAAAATCAGTAAAGTTTAGCATTGTTTAACAACAATATTTGAAAGTAGAGGGAAAAAGATGTATAACCAGCTATAACCTTGCTTCTCATGTTTTTATAATACCTC